ATCTCCCTGCCCATCTTAAACCAACAAAAGCCAGATAGGCTTATTTTGAGTCCCTTATTACAAATGGGTTGAGGGGAATAGGTATGTTTAGCCTGTGGAAGAGAAAGTAACGAGTAGAAGTTCATTAAAAAGAGATCTAACCGAAAAATTTCCTGACAGCGAGAACACTTAATCAACTACCTTGTCTACTGGGGTTCTGGGTGCTCCATCAGTGGAGGTTTGCGCCTTTTCCAAGCCGATGTGGTATCACGACCCACAGTTATCCCAAAGCTGCTTTTTCATGAGGCCACCGGACTTTCCAGTTGGCCTTGTGAAAAAGCATCCTTGGGATAACTATGACCTGGATGACTGAGAATCTCCATAGACACATGATACGGTCATTTTGCCTCTTTCTTTGAGTTCAATGTTTGATTACTTCTTTCCCCTCCAGATACTACCATGATGCCAGGAGACGAAGAATCAATAAATTCCAGTCATGGACTTAAAGGACTAAATGCAGTAATTAATTTATATTTGAGAAAGGAATTTGCCACTGTTTAATGACATCCGATGTAAATTTGTTGTTTTTAAAGAATTATTCAGGTTTTTCTATTGTTAAGCTCCTGTTCTTTAAATTCTTGTACATTAAAAGATCAGTGAGTTTCCCATAAATTGGAATTTCTACCTCTCTGGTTTTGTTTTGTTTTTTCTATAGTTGCTCCCTGCGATTATTTAACTGATGGTTTTCTCAAATTGCGCCTTGTTTGAAGTTGTGTTGAGAGTATTGAGGGCTTTGTTACGTCAGCTTAAAATCGGTTCCAGATGGTGATGATAAAATCTTCCTCAGTCCTTTCTTCTTCCTCTTCTTCACCTCCTTTTTTCATATTGCTTGACATTTTCTGAATTTTTTTTTCCTTTTTGCTTCTGATGTCAAAAATTGATCTGTTCTCTGAAAAAAAGAGTCCAGTAGTTTAGAAAAGGTCTCAATGGAGGGATTTGAAATTAGGCCAAAACTTGTATGTGACCTAAGGTATCTTCCCCAACACAATCTATTCTAACCAAAAGCTAATGACACATTTTTTTATTTTTTATGGATCTTTGGTTGTCTGAAGTTGGTAATTATTTTGGCAGCAAGGTGAGCTGGCTTTGACAGTGAACTAGCTCACTCAACAAACACACACGTGATCCAGTTCGTGCCTTTTTTTTCATCCTAAAGATTGCATCAACAGAAATTCATGGCTGCGTTATTGGGAAGAAAAAGAAATTTATTTGTGTTTTTTTTAAATCAATAAATAATTTACAGTATTTACATCACAACACCCCATACAATTTCCACACACACATGCAATAAACTGGAAAGGGAGGCAGTGTGTTTGTTACGCGCTTTCCCCGTCGCTATTCAGATTTTCGTTTTGAGCCTGTTGGGTCACATTGGCAGACTTCACTCAGAAGCCAAAATGTGGCTGAACGTAATAAAAAAAATAAAGTGCTTTGTTAATAATTAGAGACTTAAGAAACAAGATTGCAATACCTGGGAAATGGTTTTAGAGCTCACCATAGAGAAACAAATGGAAGGGAATGAGGAAAAATTGGTTAAGAGAAACTTCCCAATTTGTACAATTTTACTGTTTTCAAGACTTTTGATTTAGGAAATGCTAAAAGAAAAAACCCTATCATTTTGATAGTGGCCAGTTAATTTGGATTAAAATCCCCCTCCTCTTGTAGTGACATCATTGGTTGGGGATTATAGGAGTTGTAGTTAGCATGGTTAGAAGCATCTGGGTTGGGGGAAGGCGATGAGGTAAACCACTTTTGAGAAAAAATTCACGTGAGGGGCAAGTTCTCACCTTCATTGCAAACATTAAGTCTCATAAATCTTGGGTTTCCATTGCTGAAGTGTATAAAGTCGTCCAAAGATTTCCATATATGGTTTATCCAGTTCCCTAAATGCTACTTGGGCAAAACATTAAAAAAAAATTGCCCTGCATTTCTTCTGTCACAGCTCGGAAGAAGCTGCGAGAGATAATGATGGAAATTTGGAGAAAAGTCTTGGAAAAACTGGACATCTAGTGTGCTAATGGATTGTGTTTCAGAACTGAATGGAAATGTGTGCCATGGGTTTATCCAAGCATGCATGAATTATGAAGGCAAGCTGATCTTCAGTCCCCACGGTCATTCATCCCTGTGATCTACCATCTATGACTTGCCTAAAATTCTATCTAAAAAGGGTCAGTGGTGATAAAGCTTGGCAACCAGGTGCTATGTGGACAGCATGCCCCCCCCTCCAATACCACCAAGCCCTGAAATTAAATGAAAATTATGGCAGCCAACCTGGGACATCCGTTGAACTAGTACCGTGTCAGATTTCCTATCTTTCTTCTCCAAATCTATCGGGATGTCCAATCTACGGTCAAAAAGGCCACGGTGGAAAACACCTCTTTGCACAGGCATTTGTTAGAAGTCCCAAATAATGCCAGAATGTCACCTGTGTTTTGATTTCATTACAGATGCAATTATATAGTGATGGATGTGTGTCATTCTAGCTTCTTTTGAACACCTACAGCAAGTTGGAGAAGGTCCGTCTAGATTACAAGTTTGCAATTACTCTCAAGAGCAATTACAGTTACAACTTTAGAAGGTGGAGGATGTAAGCATCTTGGAAGAGACAATACTGTGGGATGAACAATTAACACGACTTGATAGACATTCTGACCTACCATTTTAGCAAAACCCCAGCACTGCTTGCTCAAGGTACTTTTTAGCTAAATGTAATCACACAGAAACATCCATCTTGACTTGACTTTCTAGACATCTGACAATGTGGGAAGACAGCACCCTGTCTCTCTTACGACCCTCTCTGAGTGAACCCAATTTGGTTTTATCCAACTGATATAAACCAAAGGGAGAAGACAACCATGTCCACTAATGAACCAATCATGAAGAGAAGTAATAAAATTGTTCCTTTAAATATTTTAGGAAGGAAGCCGGAGAATCCCATCTCTTTGCTCACTCACGCTAGGCCAACACAACACTCTATGTATCACAACAAGCAAATATCTGCATCCAGTGGCTACACCGTTGTGTCTCTTTGTTGAATGAGTATTACCCACGGTGAAACTGGAATGAAAAGGACACAGCTCAACAATGAAAATTGGGCAAATGGACTTGGATTGTTCTTGGTACAAATAAGTGTTTGATTCCTCCAAGAAGTTCAAAAACAGAAGGGCCTAGGATGGCAAAATGACCATATGTGAGATTTAGTATGCATTCAACTTACTGTATGTACAAAAAAAGATAAAATATGAGTGGGCAGATGATCAGACAGATGTTCACGCTTGAAGTATAGAAAAACAAGGCTTTGTGTATATCTGGATATCCTGGTGTGGTGGTGGTCAGATAGGGCTCACAATTTAGGAGCAGGTTGAGCTCACTTTCAAAAGTTTCCCTAAAACTGGCATGTTGTCAATGTATACAGCAAACCAACCCACACAATACATCCCCTTCCCAAGGATGGGGGAACACCCACCGTGGTATATATTCAAAATAGAAAGGGGGTCAGGATAAGTTTTAGAATGGGAGACTTCTCATCTGGCACCTTGACCTCAACCCAACAGAACATTTCAGAGATTCCTTAGGTTTTGTACAATGAAAAATACGGGGAGTCAAACGTAAAGAGGGCCCATCTTGTAAACTGGTGTTTCCAAAATACTAAGACAGACCTTCCACCTCCGCCTTCATCCCTCAAATAAAAGAGTGGCGTTGTTTATGAGGCCTATCCGTCTTCTGGGAAACGCACAGCCCAATTTTTTTGGGCTTAAATTGGCTGGTCAATTTGGAGTGAGCTTTCTGAAGATAACACAAGACCCGAATGGTACAGTAATACCACCAACTCAGCTGGCAGCCTTCGCAGCAGGGGACTGACCGGAACAGCTCATGATGCCCACTGCAGAAGCAGGAATGAAGAAGTCACTGGGGAAGACGGTGCAACTGTGATCCGAAAACCCACACAGCTGAAAACAACGTCCCAGCTCTCCTATGGATTGACCTGGTTTGTTTTCCAAAATGAAAGACTTGAGCATTATGTAAACCAGAAGCTTTGCGCCTAGAGGTGGCACGGACTGGCGTAATACTGGCCCAGTTCCCTAGCTTATTTTCCTAAGTACCAGAACAGGAGTGGACAACGGGTCTGAAAACAGGGCAAGCACTGTGGTTCTCGAACCACACCCAAGAGTTGGAACACAATCTGCTCACGTTGCCCATGAAACTAAGTCAACCCCACCCACTCCTCCCCGTTTCATTCTCTGCTAAAGCAAAAGGAAGCCGTTTTCTATAAAGGAGACCAAAATGGAGCAGGCAGGAAGGAAATGAGTGTGTAGGGGTGGTGTCTGCCCAGAGGATGGACAAGGGCACAATCACAACCTTGCAGAGCGGTTCCCAGACACCATCTCTCTGGAAGCAGAGGGAAATACCACCGATACACCCCCACCCGCCCAACAGCAGCTGCCAGCAGCTGCCCAAGTCAGACTGGAGAGAGGTGTGCACCAGCGGGCTTCCATGCACGAGGATGCAACCACACAAACCCATGTTGCATGAGCAGGATGCCGTGGGACTCTGCCCATGCCTGCCCACTTAAGGACTCTTTGAACAATCTTCTGTTGTCTCCAAGCCACAATTTGCACAGTCCAGAAGCAACAGTTCTGGTTGCCTCTCCAAACACTATTATACAAATGTTGTTGTCAGGGAAAGGGGTGTTCAAGGAAAAGTGAGAAGCAAGAGCTCTCCATCATCTGTAGCAACTGGAGGAAGAAGAAAAGGGGCTGATGTGACCTCTAGTCCCCTGGCAACCCTTCCACATGGGGGAAGCCTTTGTTGACAGCAAGATGCAGTCACTCAATGCCTTGTTTTCCAGACATAGCTGGGTCAACACAACACAATCACTGGTTGCTTCAGTTTCACACTTGCCCCAGACCGTAATAGTGTTCCTCAGTTTCCCAACTCAACCAGGTGTGTCTACGGCCAGTCTACAAGAAAAGGGATGGACTTTGATTCAAGTACAGGAATGCCAAGAGCGAAAGAAACAGAGCCATGGAAAACTCGGAGGTGGCCGTATCTCCCGACTCCAAGTCTCGTGTCCTTTCAAACAGATGAAGCTTGTCCTTGTTCGAGTGGAGCATCTTGACATCTTCAAAAGCATAATAAGCAGCCAGGGTAAAGTTGACGTCACCTGTGGTCAAGAGGTCAAAGACACAGGACTGGAAATATAAGTCCTCAACTGGAAGTTTCTCTTTGCATTTGGCCGTGGCTGATTCGTACGTGAAGACCTCTGGTGAAGAAGGTGGGTTTGAACCTTTCCAGCGAGGGCGGTTTTCAGTAGCCTTTGGGGTGGAAGGGAAGGCATGGAAGTCCAGCTGTTGGTTGAGTGGACAACCCCGGAGGCAGAGATAGAGGCCCTGGTTGTCTCCGTCCTCCACAGCTTTCACGACCTCCTCTGGCATCCGGGCGGCAAAGGTGAGGTAACGACCGACTTGCCTCACTACGATGGTGGTGCCAATGTATTTGGCCTGGATCTCAATGTGTTGGCCGGAGACTTTCTCGGTGATCTTCAGGCTGTTGGCACCATGTTTGTCACCGCCATTCTTGGAGCCATCAGCAAAGGCTGCTGGGAGTTCATCCATCTCTGCCTGGTACACCTTTTGATCCACACACTCCTGGAAGCTCTTGAAAATGATAGTGAGCTGGAGGGATTGGAAGGCAAAAGGTTATTGACTTTGGCAAGATCGTTTAGATCTGTTCACAACTCATCCATATTTGTGGCATCAGACCTGGACGCTCAATTTCTCTCTTCTGCTAGTTGTCCTAAGATATTTTTAATGCTTAACTTAGGGATATGATCAATAATTTGATGATGCCATTGAACTGGGGGAGGCCAACTTTTCAGTTGACTGGAAATTTTGGGTACCCTTTAAAGGGCAATATATTTGACTCTTCGTTCTACTTTATTCTTACTTATGTTTTCAGTTATAAAAATATCCCTACCTAAGAAAGGCAGACCAAACGCAAGGTGAGTTCCAGCTAAGAATCGCCCCCCAAAATTCCTCTTTTACAAGCAGCACTTAGAACCCTCTTAATTCACAAAATCTGAACAAATATATTGCTAACTTCCGTAGCTACTGGAACAATTCTAAGGCTGCGCTAGTCCCCAAATAAATCTAGACAATAGTTATCTTTCAAACTGACTTCGGTGAGAAGTGAAGCAAAGCAGTTTTCCCAAAATGCCTACCAGGGGGCAGATTCCCCAAGCCAGGCTACGCTCCAGGGACATTCCTACCTTGGTGGTGGCCGTTGCCAGGGAGCCAGGCAAGACAGGAGTGTTGGTGACCTGCACATTCAGGTAGTTGTTGTCGATGAGCGGCCAGGCCCCTTGGATTTTGCACGTCTGGAAGCTGTCCGAAAACGTCCGCAGGTGGGGGTCTCCAAACAGCCCACAGTGGGTGTAGTTGGGGCGCAAGGAGTGTTTGTGGAAGCTACGCTCGTAATGGCAACTCTCGGGACTGTCCGAGCGCTCCTGGCTGTCGCCCCGGGGCAGCGGAGGGAGGCGAGGCTGGGAGGTGGGCCCATCTTTGGAGCAGTTGTGTTGGGTCATGAGATCGTCGATGCCATGGACTGCAGAATGGTAGAAGAGGTCTCCCCGGCAGGTGCGCGCCGTGTGGTGGGTGCAGAGGGCATAGGCGCGCAGGGCAGAGCAGAACTCAGGAGCGTCCTCCGGGGCCGGGGGCTGCGTCCCGGAGGTTGCGGCCAAAAATTCCGAGTTGCACTTCATGATCTTGCAGGGAGACATTGCTAAGAGAGAGAGAGAGAGAAAGAACACACCTTTTGGAAGTGTCGAGTGAGGCTTCCTATTCTAGTGTCCACCGGCCTTTTGGACACCAGGGACCGTGGAGAGAGGTTTGTCTGCGGACCGGAGGGGACATGGTTTCATGTACTGCCTGCATCCTGCGGATGGGGCTTTGCTTCTTTGCGCAGACAGGTTTCTGACCTGCCACAGCCTGGTGGCGGTCCATGGACCGGAGGTTGGGGACCCTAATCTACATATACATACACAGGTCTTTATCAATTTACAACAGTTCATTTAGTGACCATTCAAAGTTACAACAGCAGAGAAAAAAGGGGCTTATGACTGTTTTTCACACTTATGACCGTTGCAGCATCCCCAGGGTCCCATGAGCAAAATTCAGACGCTTGGCAACTGATTCAAATTTATGATGATTGCCATGTCCTGGGGTCACGTGAACCAATTTTGCGACCTTCAGACGAGCAAAGTCAACAGGGAAGCAACTTAATGACTGTTATTAATGACTGCAACGATTGGCTTAACAAATGTGGCAAAAAAGGTGGTAAAATGGAGCAAGATTCACTTCACAAATGTCTCTCGTTTAGCAAAATAAATTTTGGGCTCAGTTGTGGTCTTGAGGACTATCTGTGTTTCCCAAATTTTGATCCACCCAGAATCTAGATCCCATTCAACCATGTGAGCTGGTCTCCACTTCTGCCCCTTTGAAAGCTACTTTATTTTGGGAAAGGATGAAATGCAGCAGCGAATCACATGCATTTTGCAACCTGGGTGTCCTTCCAGATATGCAACTAAGAATTCCCAGAATTCTTCAACCAGCGGCCACTCCTGAGAACTCAGGAACAACAACAACAACAGCAACAACAACAATAATAATAATAGTTGGAAGGGACTTTGGAGGTCATCTAATCCAACTTCCTGCTCAGGCAGGAAACCCTATACCATTTCAGACAAATGGCTGTCCAGTCTCTTCTTAAAAACTTCCAGTGTTGGAGCATTCACAACTTCTGGAGGCAGGTTGTTCCACTGACTAATTGTTTAACTGTCAGGAAATTTCTCCTTAGTTCCAGGTTGCTTCTCCCCTTGATTAGTTTCCATCTGTTGCTTCCCTCTGGTGCTTTGAGGAATAGCTTCACTCCCTCCTCTTTGTGGCAACCCCTGTCACAAGTTGAAGTTGAAGACCAATGCATCATGAATGGAAAGACTGTTCTTCTCTCTGTAAGAAGGTACCCATAGACTGGGTTCATACAGTACATTTAACCGGTTACCTGGAATAACCAAGTTATTGAGTTCATGCAAAGCCCTCAGCATTAAACAAACCAATTTTCTTGGTCAAACACGTACCATTGCAGCCCAAAATGCTAGCTAGACCAAGCTCCAAGAAGAAAAATGGAAAGTCACTAAAATTGTTGGGTTTCCAAATGAACGCTGTGAAAAACTTTATCACAGAATTCCTGACTCGGCTGTTCTTTCTTTAATGAGCTTGCAGGTTTGATGGGAAAAAAAAATAAATGTCTGCTCAAACTAGGTAGGGGAGATGGTGGGAACGAGTAGGGAAGAGTCAGAGAGTGCACAAGGCCCATAGGGGGAGATATTGCTCTATGGATTGTACAGATTTCAGCTGAAGGAATGAATATATAATACGCTTTGCCATTTCACTCATCTCTCCATATAAGGCCAAATTTCCAAAGGCAGGTGTCATGCATAAACTCCGCAAACATACAAGGGAGTGTACCTCGGTTCTACATGAGCGGGAAAGAGATCAAAACAGAACGAAAACCAAGTCCTTTTCTCAAGGTTGCAGACAATGAAACCCTCATTCAGCCCAGGTTGCATCAGACTCTAGGCATGCAATTGTGTTGGGTCCACAATTCTTAGAATCCCCAGCTTAGGAAATCTGCTGTGGTCCTGCCAGACCATACCTAGAAGCCTTTTCATGTTGCCACAAGAGATGATTCTTGGAAGCCAAGAAGTTTTCGCTATTGTTTTCCTGCAACAAGTAATCATTTAGTCATCTAGTCATGAGGACCCAGATTGTTGAGAGCAATATGCTGACTCTGTAAACTGCTTAGAGAGGGCTGTAAAGCACTGTGAAGCGGTACGTTGTCTAAGTGCTATTGCTATCTGGAGCTGTGTTGTTCTTGAACGAGCTTAATAATTCCTGATAAACTTTCTCTCTGCACCGGCTGGTCCTCTGCTGAAGCGACCCAACTTGGGGGCAGCATAATTTAACAGAATAACAGAGCTGGAAGGGACCTTGGAGGTCTTCTAATCCAACCCCCTGTCCAAGTAAGAGACCCCCTACCATTTCAGACAAATGCTTGTCCAGTCTCTTCTTAAAAAACCTCCAGTGATGGAGCACCCACAACTTCTGGAGGCAAGCTGTTCCACTGATGAATTGTTCTCACTGTCTGGAAATTTCTCTTTACTTCTAGATTGGTTTTCTCCTTGATTACTTTCCATTCATTGCTTCTTTTTTTGCCTTCTGATGCTTTGGAAAATAGGTTGACCCCCTCTTCCTTTGGTCATCCCCTTATATATTGGTACACTGCTATCATGACACCCCTAGTCCTTCTCATCAGATTAGACAAAACAAGTTCCTACAAACCTTCTTCATAAACTTTAGCCTTTGGTCCCCTAATCTTCTTTTTTTATTTTCTCTGCACTCTTTCTAGAGTATCAACATTTTTTTTTTAATATTATGGCGACCAAAACTGGATGCAATATTCACTAACTTTTTGGATTCCGGGGATAACCATCTACTCATCAACCACAAATAATCTTATGGTGCTGCAGGTTTATCCTCTTGGAAACCCCACAGAAAGTTTTCAGCTAGGCTAGCTCAAAACAGTTCAAGGAATTAAAGCAAATATGTCAAATAATTCACAGTCATGGAACCAAATGCAGCTTATTTCACACAACACGTTTAACCAGGTCGGTTACAAAACCAAGCAGTTCCGTTTGTATCCACCACCTGCTAAGCTGCGTTTCCAGCTTTTGGGGTTGTTTTTTTTTTTGGGGGGGTGGTGTGAATCCAGCCCACTCAGTTTTGTGACTCGATGGGCTGGATGAACTCAGGGAATGCGCTGATGAGATAAGCATGTTGAGCACGTTGTGGGATTCTATCCTTAGAAACCATAATTGGACAAGGGCTCACGTTGAGAGCCAGGATCATCTCCCTTCCTTTCCTAACTTCCTGCCCCCACCCCCACCCCCGTTCAGTAGAGATTTGGACACAGAGCAAGGCTGAGCTTTTTCTGGCTGACGGCCTGCCTGTGCAGCTGTCGGATCACATTCTGTATCTTTTTTCCTAGCACAAACTGCTCTTCTGACTCAGGCATTTTGGCCGGAGAGCAGGAAGCAAAGATCACATTGCTTGCAGGAAAAATTGGGACAAGGATTCGGGAGGAAAGGAGCATGAAAGCCAAAGAGCCATGCAAGGGAATCTCTGATGACAGCTGGCTTGTCCCAAATTCGACAAGACGAATCTTAGGCTACAGAACCAAAAACCAGAAGTTAAGGCAAGCTGGGGAGCAGTTTAGAATTACGGCTGCAAGGAAGAGCATCTAGCTGTCCTTGGCCAAGCTTGAAAAAAACACCAAGCAGAATCAGATCAGACCTGGTTACGTCAAGTTAAATGGCTAATATTGCAATGTACAGGTAGCCCTTGATTTATAAGCATTCGTACAGTGACGAATATGTATGTATGTATGTGTGTGTGTGTGTGTGTGTGTGTGTGTGTGTGTATATATATATATATATATATATATATATATATATATATATATATATATATATATATATATATATATATATATGCAGGTCTTGGCGTATTCGGGTCTTTTCCCATGTAAGATTGAGATTATCTTGGTTATTGTTAGTGTTAACTCCAACACAGCCAACCAACCCACCTACAGCAACCAAGCCAGCACTCCACACCCACCCACCAATATTTATAGAGAGACAGCAGCTCCGATCACACTTTGTTCGCACAAGCACGAAGCCGAAGACCCCAGCCTGAAGATGACGAGTGGGACCTCGTCGAAACGTCGCCAAGATACTCTCAAATACAAAACAGGGGGAAAAACCAGAAAAAAACCATACATCTGACAGTAACAGCAATAGCAAAAGAAAAAGTGTGTATAAAAAAAGGGAAAAAAGAAAAAAAAAGACTCAAACTTCCAACATTAAATACATAAAAAAAAAAAATCCACCATGGCTGGATGCTGAAAAAATAAAATTAAAAAAAAAACCTCCCTTTACCTAATGGGTCTGCAAATAGTTATAAACTTTCTCATTCTTATTTAACAAGAAAAATATACTATGTAAACAGATGGGGAGGTCTCTATCTAATAAATGGACGCAACTTATAATATATATAAAAAGTAAAAGAAAAGGGAAGGTCAGGTTGGGTCTAATGGCATTGGGCAAAGAGATAAGCTGGATTTGAACCCAGTCCTATCCACACAAAAAAAAAAAACTGGGGGATGGGAAGAAGTGGAAGAGTGCAGCCTCCAATTTATTTGTTAAATTTATTTTCTCCACTGCAGCTTCCGACTGGAATCTTATCCCCAAAACATCCAATCGTCTGTCCCTCAACCGAGTGTGACTCTCTAAGGTTTCTCCCAAAAGGAAAGTTCTCTACTCAAGATAAATTTATGCAGGCAGTCCTTGACTTACCACCACAACTGAGCCCCAAAATTCTGTTGCTAACGGAGACGTCTGTGAAGTGAATTTTGCCCCATTTTGCGACCATTCTCACCACATTTGTTAAATAGGTAACATGGTTGTGAAGTGTATCCAGCTTCCCCCATTGACTTTGCTTGTCAGAAGGTCACAAAAGTGACCCCGGGACACTGCGACCGTCATAAGTATGAGCCAGTTGCCAAGCATCCGAATTCTGATCCCACGACCCTGGGGATGCTGCAACGGTCGTAAGTGTGACAAATGGTCATCGGTCCCTTTTTTTCAGTGCCGCTGTAAGTTCGGACAGTCACAAAAGCGATCTGTTGTAAAGTCAAGGATTGTCTGTAGTCCTGTCAAATTGTTAAGCGCCTCTACCTGCAACCTCACCAAATTGGGGAGTCTGCTAGCTTTGTGAGGGTTCAAGGGGTGCAAACGAGAGACATGGTGCCTCCTTGGAAGGACAGATCTCTTGTACAATCAGCTATAGCGATTTTCCACTTTTGAAATATCCCCCTTTTTAATGGAGAGGCCAAAAAAAAAAAATAGCTTTGGCATTTGTTCAACCCTTTGGGGGGTTTTTAATAAATCCAAAAGCTTTATCTGGAGCATCCCGTCCTGAGATCTTGCTGGAAAAAGCACCCTGCACTTCCCTCCCTAGCAACTGAGCCCCCCCTGCACCCCCCCCCCAAAAAAAACATAATCCTAGCCAAAAATATTTCTGACAACAGGCAGCCCTGGCAGAGCTCTGGAGGAACTCATTTGAACAGTAGCCAAGAAAACTCTGTTCAATTCTGCATAATCCATTTTCCATCGACTCAGAAATGCATTTGGGTCCCAGCCACGGATGACTTAGCATAGGAGCAGGCTGCTTTGTGTCTGCTGGTTGGAAAATTAACACAAAAAGGGGAAAAAAAGAAACTTCAGGAGGGTGGGGGGGGGGAGGCAAATCCTGCCCTGGGCCCAGACTTTCCCCAAATAACTGCCTCTTATTTGCAAGCAAAGCAGAAGTGTTTATATACAGGATGCAGTTTTGCACACACGCGCCAATTAAAAACAACACTGATACAGAACGCGATGTAGGGAAGGGGGAAGAAAAAAAAAACTTGAGCGTTGCAGTTCTTGTTCATTTCATTCTTTTAAAAGCAGCCAGATTCTAGTCCCTTTGGTTGATCCCACAATCTGCTCACATTGGCACCCAAATGCTGTATTTCAAAGCAGCTAATTCACAGGCAAAGGAGTCCGTTTAGTAAGCCCCTAAGTTCACAAGACACCTACACTCACAGCGGGGGAAAAAAAAACATATTGCACCTTTGTGGGTTTGGGGGTTTTTTTGCATCAATCACAGTCAGCCTACATTGGATGGACGATCTTTGCTGAGATCTGCAAGCTGGCTAAGCACATTTGTCTGGGGTGGCCAGGGGATAACCCGTCAGCAAAACCAGACGAAATGCTGCCGCCAAAAATGAGAAGAAGCCAAGAAACATTACACAAACATCCTCCGTGCACAATGCACAGGCAAGTCACAGAATTTATGTTTTCTTAGTGCAGAATATTCCTTGGGCCACAGAGTATCCATAACCTGCCTTTTACAAAGCTAAGAAATCCTGGACATATGCCACCACAGGTAGATGGGTGTCGTTGTGCAATCAATATTTATAGAGGGCGGGGCCTCAACCACACAATTGCTGCTGCCATCTTGGTGGTTTTTTTGACGCACCCATATCCAGACATTTCTGCATTCCACTAGCCCAGGGGTAGGCCACCTTGGCTCTTTTATGACTCGTGGACTTCAACTCCCAGAATTCCTGAGCCAGCATGGCTCAGCTTGGAAACTCTCCCTTTTCCCTCTCAGCATGGCTGGCTGAGGAATTCTGGGAGTTGAAGTCCACGAGTCATAAAAGAGCCAAGGTTGCCTACCCCTGCACTAGCCCCATTTCTGTTCTATTTTCAGGCGAGAAATTGTTGACACGCGGCATGCATACCCCCAAGTCTTTGACTATACACCCCAGTCTACACAGCAATGGAGGGCAAGAGTGAAGGAGGCTGGAAACAATTAGGTGCACCACTGAAGTTTGTGTGTTAAGTGTTCAATGCCCAAACAGCACAATTGCACCTAAGCTGTGGTTTTCCTATGCCCCCAAGCATCATGGCCACCACCAGCCTTCAGAGGTGGCTGAGTTCACCCCACAGGTTAAGTCCAGACAGAGAGGTGATTCTTTCTCTTATAACCAGCCCATCTCTTCAAGGCAGAAGATAATTTGTTTTTGCAGTAGGTTATGGCAACAGCGCAAATTAGTTTTGCAACACGTTGTACCAACCTTGACTGTGGCTTATGTCTGATAAACGTCATCAGCCAAACCACTAGGGAGTTTAAAAAAGCTCAAATCCACCCTTGGGTGTGTGTGTGTGTGTGTGTGTGTCATCACACCTGCATTTGAAATGTATTTATTTATTCAGTCAAAGACCAACAACATAAAATAGTAAAAAGAGAGATAAAAGGTAGCAATTACAATCAGGATCAACAGGGAGAAGAGGGTGCAATTATATATTAGCAACTGCAAAATAAATCGGATGTGGTATACTCTAAACACCCTTATTGCAATAATACCGTGTTTATTTACCTAACAATAATGCAACACGTATAATAAAACTAAACATTAAAATGTATGTCCTCTAAAAATTATCAGAAAATAACGAAGCAAAATATTGATTAAAAACAAGGGTGTTTAGTAGTTGTTTAGCCGGTTTTTCCTGATTATCATCGCAGCAGCACAAAATTCTACTATAGTATGAAGGGTGGCTGGATTTCAGTTCTGGAGAAGATGGTTCATGTAGAAATTGTGTGATCTGCCTAGATATCACCTGCCTTTTGAATAGGGGGTCAGAGAGCTGAAAAAAGGAAGGCCACCTCTCACCCGTTCTGGCCATTCTGAAGAGTCTCTGCTTTTTAGGAGCCATTCAGACTTTGACCTGGGAACAGCAGAAGAGGAATTGAACATCCCATCCCTCTGGCAGCACAAAAGAGTGGGGGGTGGGTGGGTGGGAGGGCAGAGGTCCTGTAAATCCAGAAAACTAAGGGAGAATTGCAAATGGAGGCAAAGACCCCTGAAACAGCAGCTCTGAAAAACTGGAGACAATGGAAACTGACCAGCTGGGGTCTCTAGCAAAGAGAAAAAGGAAGAAGAGGAAAGAAACAAATAGATCCATAAATTTTCCCACCCTGCACAAAGGAATTGGATCAAGTTTCAGTGGCGAGGCTAGGAGAAGAGATGTGAATGGAGGACAATAGACCCAGCATTCCTAAAATGAGGTTTTATGCATATGACAACTTGGGCCACCAAATGAGAAGAGACCCTGATGTTGGGAAAGATGGAAAGCAAAAGGAGAAGGGGATGGCAGAAGATGAGATGGTGAGATGGTGTCATCAATGCCCTGAATATAAGTTTGGGCAGATTCTGGCAGATAGTAAAAGATGGAGAGAGAGGACTGGTGTGTTGTGTTCCATGGGGTTATGGAGGGTTGGGCATGACTTGGCAACTGAACCACAACAAATAACAGCAACAAAAATCATGGAGGTGGTAAGATGCCAGGTTGAGTTGGGATTCTGGGCTGGAAGAGACGGAGTGACTGAACCAAGCAATCTCTCACAACTTCTTCTGGTATGGACAGGACATCTAGTGGACTCCCACAACCAGATCCAAAATGCAGAGAGAATGCAAAGACGCCCTCCACATGTGTCAGAGGCAATGCATTAACAGTGTGACCCATCCAAGTCTCAACACCGGTGTTCAGAAACAAAGGGTCAAGTTCACACACTATACAAAACACGGGTCAGTAAAGCACAACTTTTATATTTACGTATACGGAGACACCCAAATTTGCTGTTTTATAGCTTAACACCATGCCTGGCTCACCCAACGAACTAAGACAAGGCTGGGCACAATATGTTGAACCACAAATGATCCAAACTGATGGCAGCCTAGCCTAGGACGTTGTGTGAATCCAGTCAAGCTCTATGAATATATCTAGGAGTGTTTGTTTGTTCATTTGGGATTGGTTTAATTTAAAAGTGAAATGGAAAGAGTTCAACGTTCCAGGAAATCAGCCACGTCTTCCCAGTGAATTGCAGCATTTTGATATTCAAAGGCACTTGGCCATTTGTGCCTCACAACTAATCCCCAGGGAGGTGTCTTTCCTTCTGGGGGGTGAATCTCTTAAATCCAATTAAAGCCACTTAAATTTATGGCAGCCCCCCCCCCAATCCCTTGACAGGGAATCTGTATGTTGTTTTAAGGTTGGATGAAGAAAACAATCAACTGTGTTGATTTGAGCAAGACACCCTGCTCCTGGTGTGACAAACAAAGCGCAGACCCCTTTGGAAATGCGGCAGGAGGGGAACCATGAAGAAATGTGAATTACACCAGTTAAGTATTGCAGGCGTGGAATACAAACAGGATTCTGTATTAATAAACCGATGACAGAAGGCAAGGGGGGGGGTGTGAAACTGCATACATGGGTCCAAGCACCAGAGGGACACCTCAATTCTCCATCCAATTTTCAGGCCCAGAAATTGGATTGGACCACTTTCTCAAATTTCTCCAGGAGAAAGAAAAAAAAATCCTTCAACCCACTTCTCGGTGACCTTCAGTGTTAGGAGTTTCCTCCTGAGGACACCCCCCCCCCACCTGCCATCCAGGACACAATTTGACAATCCACACAGCAGAACTGGGCAGAAAGGAATTGCTCGGAGAAATGGGAGGAGCGGGCATTTGCAAGAAGGCAAGCCGCCCGGGTCTTTGGAGAAGGGCTGCAAAACAAGCAACAGGATAAATGCGGCCTCTCTACCGTAGACCCAGACAAGGCTCTCCCTCAGGGACCCACACGTAAGTCATTTCTCTCCCCCCCACAAGGCTCTACTCACCCCACACCAATGCCCGAGGGCTAGAAGAAGAATGGAAAGCAGATGAAATCGAAAGACAGACATTCCGGGAAGTTTAAGAAAGGTTCTAAATGCCTGGCGAATCATTCTTTTTCTGATGGGGGAAAAAGAAAACCAAACCCAGATGGATTTGGACTGTTCCGACTTCGTGGTTTTTTCTGAGCAGCTTTTGACCCCCCCACTCCCCCCATAAGGAAGCGTCGTGCAGACCCAGACATTCAGCAGGACAGAATTCATAAACCTGGCTCAGCTTTTGCCATAGACTTCGGCCATTTCCATCATTTCGTTCATTTTAATCATGTCGTTCCTGGGTGGCCGCAAAAACAAGGGAGGGCCTGAGGATCCACCAGCTGCTGCGCACGCCCCTGCAGGTAGTCCTCGACTTACGACAGTTCATTTAGTGACCGCTCAAACTTACAACGGCACTGAAAAAAGGGATTTTTTTTCCTTTCGCACTTACAACCGTTGCAACATTCCCCCCCCCATGGTCACGTGATCAAAATTCAGTCGTTGGCGACTGGATCATATTTATGATAGTTGCAGTGTCCCGGGTGGGTCACGTGATCCCCCTTTTGAGACCGTCTGGCAAGCAAATTCAAAGGGGAAGCCAGATTCACTTAACAACTGTGCTACTAATTTAACAACTGTGATGATTCCCTTAACGACCGTGACAAAAAGGTCATTAAGTGCAAAGCTCACTTAACAAACGCATAACAACAGAAACTTTGAACTCAATTCAGGTCGTAAATCGAGGACTACCTGTCTATAGAAAATCACGTCCTCCTAACATGCCTAACATGCAGACAGCCCAGGTTCGAATCTCAGAAGGGTATGTCTGGTTGAAAAGAACTAAAAAGTTCGAAATGGCTATTCCAGTTCTCCCTTAATTCTTTGTTAGCAATCCAAATTTTGAAAAATATATATATATATTTTCATCGTGAACACGGTGATTTTCCTTTGAAAGGCTCCCAGCAAGCCG